TTCTTGACACCTCTTACAAGTGTTACTATCACTTAGTCCCAGTTTGAAGAGGTGTCCTTTAAGGTGACAGTGTCTGCTAAGTAGTTCCACCACCCATCGTAGCTGGTTCCTGTTTAACCTCAACAGTTCCTTCGCTCTTCTAGCAGAGGGTCCTCGTATGAGTCCCTTTGCTTGCCTGAGGCCAGTCAAGGATCCCCAGTATTTCTTGTGCTTCATATTTGTCCAGTCCCTGATTGCCTGTCTGGCAACTCCTATAGAGATGTCACAGGCTGGTTCAGGTCCTATGAACGGATGTGCAGCTCCAATCTTAGCCAATTGATCTGCTGTTTCGTTTCTAGCCATACTCTCATGTCCCGGCACCCATATCAGTTGTACCCTCTTATGTTTGGCCCGTTCCATGAGTGTTTGGTGGCAATCCCAGACCAATTTTGAGTTGATCTTGTGTTTGTTAAGTGCTCTAAGTGCAGCTTGGCTGTCAGATAGAATGTAGATATTCCTATTTCTGTAGTTCCTATCTAAATTCTCCATAATACATGCCATAAAGGCATATACTTCTGCCTGGAATACAGTTGTGTACTGCCCAAGGCTGAAACTAAGTTTCCACCTCATGCCATAGCAGTACACACCAGCTCCAGTGCCCTTATTTATCTTGGAACCATCTGTATAACAGATCAGTCCCCCTTTTCTATCGGGCCGAAACCCGTCTTCCCATTCACTCCTGTCAGGAAATCTGACTGTGAAGGGTTTTTCTTATACATGTCTCAGTATCATTTTGTCAGACCCCATTTGTAATATGGGGTCTTTTTTCGTGTCCTGAGTTATGTATTCATGTCCGAAACTATTGGATCTATGTTTCCATTGATCACTGCATTGGAGACGGTAGATTGCTGCCCTGGCCTCTGCATACAACTGTAGATGCAGTGGGGGGAGTCCAACGAGTATCTCCAGTGCAGCTGTTGGAGATGTTCAAATTGCTCCTGTGATACCCAAGCAGTTTGCTAAGTTCTGCCTTGCTTATCTTGAGTTTAACTCTGGGCCGCCATACTATGGTGCCGTATGTACGAGTCTTACAACTGCAGTGTATATCCAATGCACAATGTGCGACTGCAGTCCCCAAGTTTTACCAAACATGCTTCCGCATGTTCAAAAAGCCTTATAGGCTTTATTGATGACCCTGTCAAGCTGCTTTCTCCATGTCAGTCCCTTGTCTAATACTAGACCAAGGTACTTGACATCGCTGGAGAGCTGGATCGTTTTATTGAAGAGGGTCAGTTCCTTAAGGCCCTTTATATTTCTCTTCCTGGTAAATGGTATAATTACCATCTTATTAGCATTGATGGAAAGACTTGTTCTTTCACACCATCGTTTGACTGTGTACAGAGCTGTTTGAAGATGCTCTGATACTCTCAGGAGGAATTTTCCGTTTATGAGGAGTGCTATATCATCAGCATATCATACTGTATAATGCCCATCATCATTAAGTCCCCACAGGAGATCGTCGACAACCAGGCCCCACAACAGAGGCAGGAGCACGCCCCCCTGTGGACACCCCCTAGATGCAGACGCCCCCAGGGTTCTCCTGATAGTGTCGCAGCTATGGTTCTGCTTTCCAGCGGCCTGTTTGATTATATCAAATGAGGTCCTATCGAAAGCTCCCTCTATGTCAAGGAATGCTCCTAAGACAATATCCTTATGTTCAATCGCAATTTCTATGCGTTTTATCATATTGTGTAATGCGCTTTCGGTAGATTTACCTGTTTGGTAGACATGCTGGTTTCGGTGTAGAGGATATGTCCTCAACACCCCGTCCCTGATATGCCTATCCACTATTTTCTCCATCGTTTTCAAAGGAAAGACGAAAGGCTGATAGGACGATAAGCCTAAGCCTCAGTGTAATCACTATCACCTTAACTTGCCTCCAGGCCTTGGGATAATACCATATGCCATGCTATATGCGGCATAGGTGTGGAACTAAGAGTTCTGCCCCATGCTGCAAAAGTGCCCATACAATTCCATCTCTTCCCACTGACTTAAATGGTCTAAAGGTATTCAGTGCCCATCTGATTTTTGATTGGTTAATTATGACTTTGGCCAGGTTCCAGTCTGCCCTGTTCATCCCACTTTGACAAGTGCCCAGTTTTTCTCTGACCCTGTTCATCGTCCAAATTATCAATCAATTTTGAATCAGGAAAGTGAACCTTAATAATTCGTTCAGTGTTTCCTTTCCTGTTTGAGTATACTGCCCGCTAGGCAGCTTACTTGTGCTGACCTTGTTGGTCGCCTGTTTTGTCATGATTCTCGTGAGTCTGGCACCGCCTGGTACATCACTGATCTCCTGGCAGTGCCTCCTCCATGAAGATAGCTTGGCCTTCCACATTTCTTTATTGTAACAGGTAAGGGCTTCCTTATAGGTGTCCGACTGCCCTGTTCTTTTAACTGTACTAAATAGCCTTCTTGTCTTGGTTCTAAGCCCACTCAGCTGTTTACTCCATCAAGGCGCTTTCCTTGCTTTGTGAGTGGTCTTAGTCGGACAATTCTGATTAAAGGACAAGATAATAGCCCATTGCAGCTGGTCAACAGACCGATCAACATCCTTTATTGTGCATATATTTCGCGAGATGCTGTCCAGATTTACCTTTAGGTCGTCTTTGTAAGACTCACAATTGGTTCTCTTAGGATTCCTATAAGTAGCTTGATCTACTGTAATGTTGCTTATTTGAAAGCATATATATTTGTGACCCGATAAGGACGGCTCATCAGATACATGCCAATTACTTACCAGGTTTCCTATTTTATTGGTCCCTAGTGTCAAGTCGATAACCTCCTGCCTATTGCAAACCGCAAAGATAGGCTCGTTACCTTGGTTTAGAATATTAAGTTTTGAACTCACCAAAGGTTCCATGAGGCATTCTCCTCTTGGGTTAATGTCAGTGCTCCCCCACAATGTGTGGTGTGTGTTGGCTTCACACCCAATGATGAGCTGTTTTTTCCTAAGATGGCAGTATTCAACGATGTCCCTCACTTCTTAGGAAGGTGGTGGTTCATCCAAGTCATATGGAAGGTAGGCTGAAGTCACAATGAGCTCCTCACAGCCTCCACCCAATGTGTATGTCATCCTCACTCTTGTTGTGTCTCTGGAACAGAACTCCAGCAAGGGTAAAGCATTAATATGATTATTAACATATATGCATGATCTTACATTTTCTCCAGGTATGACAGAATAGACTGTTCCCCCTGAATTCGTTAAGCCTCTTATTTGGCCCATATATCTGCAATGTTCCTGAATAAGTGCTACGTCTACGTTTCCCTCGGCTAGTTGTCGACATAAAATTTCTGTAGCAGCCTTGCTGTGGTGTGGGTTAATTTGAATGAATCAAATGTTGTGTGTATATGTCATGTGTGTATGCATGTGTACGTATATATGTGTGCTATGTGTTCATTCTGTAATGCTGGGAAAGGTGTCCTCCATATTTTCTTCCATAGCTCCTTTTCTTTTATCGGACCTGGTTTCCTCCAAGGGAGGTCCCTTATCTGATAAGGTTCTGATTGCCAAGAGGAGGGATTATCTCCTTCTCTTCAGATACTTTCTTCTGGTCAACTGAGGGAGCGGGTGCATCATCTCCCTCCCCCTCAGAGGCCGATTCTGAGAGTACTGAACTGTTCACAGCAACTTCTTTCTGCCGTTGCGCCTCAGGATCTTGCAGGACCCTAACAGTTCTCTGTGAGCGTCCTGCATATACCTTATATCCAGTTCCCTTGATAACAGATAGGGAATCCTGCCCGTTTGGTTTAGATTTCCTATCCAGTATCCTCCAATTCTCAGTATGGAGTCCTGGATTAAGATTTCCAATCCATTTCAGCAGATCGCAGGATTTGGGGCAACTTTGTCCTTCATCCTGAGAGCCACCTTCACAGGTTTGGGCAGGTTCTTGGCATCAGTAATCTTTAGCCTAGCCCCTGATTTTAATCTGTGATTATTTATGGTTCTAACGAGCCACTGTCCAGACTGTTGGTCGGCACATGTATATATTAATGCACCTCCCTCCAGTCTGTATGATTTCAGGCGTGGTAGTTCTCCCAAAGGAGTCCTACATAATGCCTGTCCCAGTTCCTCCAGAATGGAGTCCTGGTCTCCTGTTATCTTCAGGATACATTTCCTTGAAGATAGCTAACCTTACATGGGTTATCGCCTCCTTGTAAGCCCCTGGTCCACTAGTGTCACTGGGCCTTTTAGGAGGTCTGCACACATCCATGGGGGTATTCCCCTCTGACCTTGGCCTCTTAGGGGTTTTGGTCGAAGGTCTCTCTCTCTCTGATGCAATTTCAGTTCCCGGTTGCTGAATGCCCCCAGTGTCTGCTTCCATTGCCTTAGCCTTAGCCTTCTTCAGTTTCCATCTAGTGCATCCAGACAATGCCTTCCTCGCTGGACAGAACCTATCAGCCTCAGAGGTTGGGCACTCCCGACCTTCACCCACTGCAGGTATGCTGGATCTACCAGCCTCCCACAGCGGTGCATCGGCACGCCCAACCACTGAAGGAGAGGCCCATGACTGTATCCCAGGCAGGTTTCCAACTATTGGTCCATCCCTGCCCTTGGCTGAGATCTCGACAGTAGGTTTGCTGGTTGCGGTTGGGCCCCTTAATGGTGTGCCAGAGCTTCCAGCTGAGGGGTTTCTCGTTGGGATCTCCATGGAGGATCCCTTTTCTTTTTAAGGTCCTGTGGACCAGTTGTGGTTTTGAGTTTTCTGGTATCCACCTTGGTCCCATGAGTAATGGGGATGTACAAGGTCACCACCCGCAGAGCCCCATACTGGTGGAAGGCATAAATACACCGAGGTGCTGCCTGGTGCCCTGAGGGGATCATTCACGACACCGGCTAAAGTACCACCCCGGTGCCATGCAGCGCTTGGTACGATGCTTCACACCTTTGCGTTAAAATCCTCACGTGTCTCCAGGACCCAAAGAACTTGCTTGGAGGAGGGGGCTATCCCTGATGACTAATGGGAGTTAGATTCCAGCTACTCATGAGGATGAGACCAGGAGACCTGCATGGGAAAATTGTCCCTGGGAGTAGCATAACGGTAATCAGTCCTTAAGCCCCCCATTCCCTGCCCTCCACGTGGGTTGGTCAGACCATTTTAGAGTGTTTGGCCCAAAGGCTTTCGGCACCTTATTGGTACTCTAGGGAGACAACTCAAGTAGCCATAGCAACCCCCACATGAGTGCTCTCCCGCATTTGTTCTAGGTAGACCATAGTGATATCCAGGAGTCATTATGCCACTGTGTGGGAGGCTCCAGTCGTAAACACACCATTGCCCTTTATGGGATCTTAGCTGTCAGTCCCAGTAGTCATAATAGTTCGGACTCTAAGACTGCCGTTGCCCGGTGGGACCACGAGGAGGTGTCCCAAGGCTGTGTTCCAACACATCCCCCTAGTCTATGTTATGCCCCCACCAGATATACATCCATAATTCGGCCAACCTCACTGAGGATGGCATCATTACTACCCATAACAGTGCCCTCAGGGGGTCACTGCTACTTCCACCTAGACATGGGTAAAAGATGGCTGCTTCATTCCACAACATTTCTTTTTAACTGGGTCAATAAAACATAACTTTTGTTTCCAACAGCAATACCTGTAGGACCAGATTCCTGAATTTCTATTATATATCTTGAGACTCTGCGAGGTTCTTAACTGGAGCACCTACCTAATTCTGAACTACTGTGTTCCCATAGTTTTGAACTTGTTTAACCTAGTTCTAGAGCATTTACCTACCCCTGAACTGGAATGTACACATCAGTCTGGAGCATCTATCTAGTTCTAACTGGAAATGTCTACTTAGTTGTAAACTGGGGCATCTGTCTGGTTGTAAACTAGAGTATTTACATAAATCTGAACTGGGGCTTCTGTGTGTTTCAGAATTTGGTCTACCTGGCTCTAAACTGGAGTGTCTACCCAGTTCTGATCTGAAGCACCTCCCTAGTTGTAAATATGAGCATCCTCCTAATCTTGAACTGGAGCATCTCCATAATTCTGAACTGGGGTCTACATAGTTCTAAACAGGAGTACCTGCCAAGTTTAGAACTGGAGTACATGTAGTTCTGAGAAGACATTTCCATTCCTTGTGGTAGAGAGGGGATTAAAGAAATTGGAACTGTGGCCTTAGAAAAAGATTTAACAAAAGTTATTTACAGTATCATTTTTTTTATTTTTAGTGCAGTGGGACTAAGTCCCTTGTACTGCGGCCACCTCTGGCCTACTGTACCAGCCCCAGATGATAGGTGAGGGTGATTGGGGAGCAATTGGTGGAATGAAGATTGGCAGGGGAAACCGAAGTAGTTGGAGACAACCTGCCCCAGCGCCACTTTGTCCACCACAAATCCCACTTGACCAGACCCAGGATCGAAGCCGGGCCGCCATGGTGGGAAGCCAGCGACTAACCGCTTGAGCTATGGCGCGGCCCCACAGTATCATTTTATATATTCATTCTGCTTTCATTTCATAAAAATCACAGCATTGCAGCAACATTTTCTCTTCCTGAGATTTCAGAAGAGGTGGTGAAAGGAAAGGAAGATGCTTTCATGAGAGTGAAGAGAACACATGTACCAGATATTGTTGATCAGAAGGAATTGATTGCACGTGTAAGGAACGATAAGAAAATTGGATTCCTCTACATGGTTTATGCTGTATCACCAGCTTCAGAACTTTACTCACCATATTGCCTTACGTATGTTAAAATATCATTAAACTTTCAACACTAACATGTAGGTTCATATACAAATGTCTTTGTTTATCCATTTATGTGGATAGACAGGCCATTTCTTACTGCTGCAGGGATTGTCAGAAACTCATTTCCAGACAGTATGGATTAATTGTTGGTTTCTGAATGATTACATATGTTTTAGACATACGTTAACAAAACAATATTGTAAATCAAATAATGTCCTTCATGTTGACTTCACAGAAAGATGAAATGTGAGGTATAACACAAACTAAACTGCAAATAAAAGAAAACTTTAATTCTAAAGGCCTTTGACAATGGCATATTGCTCTTGGGATTACTGCATTTCTGGACACAACATTTCACAAACTAGATCTGGTTCCATCCTCAGGTAAAAGATGGGATACATTTAATCAGTTGGATCAATTAAAAAAGTTGGAAGTCAGTGACTGGGAAACGTCCTTTCTCATGGACCCAATTGAGTAGGTGCCTCCATACATTCTCACCTGAGGGCAGAATCAGATTTAGTTTTGGAAACATGCTTTTTTGGAGTACCAGAAGATGGATGCAGTCCATAAACTGCATACTCTGTGAGGAGAACGTGACAATATACTTGTACCAATGAGTTACATTTGGCCGTACTAATAGTATTTATATATAAAAAAGCTTCTTTTTTCAGTGTCGTTCCATTTGAGGAAATTGATAAGACCAACTTTCTGACAATCAGTAGTCATGGCGTGACACACTACTATACAGATGACATGGTATTCTTGCCTTTGGACGTCTGGGAGAGAGAGTATGACTATTACTGCAAGTTAATTAAGGTATGAATAAAATATAAATTCACTGTTGAGTTATTCGGCTTGCAGTAGTAAATTGCTTAAGATGAAACCTCTGAGGTTTCAGAGGAATTTACTGCTGTCATTTTGAAGTCAGATAGTTTGTAGTAGGTTTCAAAGCACCTAAACTGTTGGGATTGTTCATTCCAGGATATAGTCATATCCTATTATTGAATGTTCTTTTATTTTATTGTGAGTCAGTAGTTGCTATAATCCAATTCTTGTTGTAGGTCATGTGAGATCACATATTCTTTATATTTGTTTTTACAGTGAAATGAAAGCGATATCACTGCTAAAGGGTTCTAATGATGATGTTTTACTCTTTGGATTACATGGTAATCCTGAATATAAATGATGCTTCAGGAAGCAAATGCAAGTGCAGCACACATCTTAATGTTTCAGATTAAGGTATACAAGCAGTTTCGAATGTGGAAAGGTTTCTATGTGTGGAGGAAATACTGTGTATGGAAAAAGTTCTGTATTGCCCAGGAAGCTCTAACACAGAACCTTTTTGTACTGAACCCAATATTGCGGCAAGCTCTTCTCAGTATCCAAGCTATGTGCTGCAAACTTGTGGATATGTCCTTCACAGACATTAGTAAACTGGAAGGAAATGCCCTTTCTGAATTTATGGAGGTTCAGGTATGTTTCAGTACAGGATTTTTATTTTTGAATTATCTGTGTACATAACAATTTATGCCATATATTGGTTTCTAAGTATATTGTCAGGAGTAGGAGGCTATGTGTGGTGAATAATTGTGGGTTCTAGTTTGAATGATTGGATTTATTAACACTTAGATTACTATCTCTCCTAATTATAACTAATACAGTGCTATCGCTGATTTATACACTTTCCAGTTCACAGTTGCACATGCACTAGGATTCTCCATCTTCACTAGTTGTCTCCTGGCAACGCATCTCAACACAGAAACTGAAACATTCTCACTGAACTACACACTCCATATGTTACACATAAAGTCTTCTCTTCACAGCCGTACTCTTAACTAGACTGCACTGCACTCCACTCTAAACTAATCTAAACTACAACAGGTCTTCATTATATAGGCTCCACATGGACAACACAGAGAACGCAAGTCATGTGATTCCTAGCCACTGAGTTCATTGTCATGCTGAGTGTTGCCTAGCAATGAGCTACGAGTATAACATTCATCCACTGAGACACATCTTCCATCGTTGCACATTAGAACATGTTTACCGAGCTGTTGCCTGTTTGAGTAAATCCGTTACAATATGTTAATTATACATCATGTGACCAGGTAGAAGTTTACTGAGGTTTTGCAGGAATATACTCTCTCCATTTTCAATGTTGAGTTAGCTGAGCAAGCAAGCTGTAAATAGGCTACATTGGATCACATCATAGAGAACAGTACTCTTCATAGTCACTGCCATGAGAAACTTGAATCCACAAATAATTAAATTTTTGTCATGAACTGCATTTGTCAAAGTTGTGGAGTGAACTACAGATCTAAAATACAACTGCAGACTTTTAATACTGTGAAAGACTCACTTCACATCTTTGAATGGATATAAAAAACACAGCATCTTTGAAATGCACTGATTTTTCATTAAAGTTAAAAGGAAATTTGACATTTAAATGTCAAATGATAAAAATGTATGACTTCATAACTTCATATCAGGTGCTGTACTTAGTTATGGTAGTGAAAATTAGACCTTAGATCACTTCTGAAATAAGTATGTGTATGTTATTTAAGAAATTACCTATCTTTTAATTTAAAAGAAAATTTGTGGTCATTTGATTCAGAATAGAGTGAAATTACTTCTTAATGTTTATTTAAGGGACAGTGGGTTTGAGCAAAAAACAGGAAAAAAAAACACTGGTTTTAGTCCACAAATGAACTATACCAACTGAGCGACCTCTGCTTGTTGGCGAAGCTAGTGCCAACTTTAGCAGGTAGAGGGTGTCACATGGTCAGTGCAAGGAATCTCCATGGCCGTTAATTTCGGTTTTCTAGACCAGAGCCGCTATTCCCATGGAATAGCTCCTCAATTATCATCACAAGACTGAGCGGAACCTGTTCCAGATCCACTACTTCTCAGAAAACCTGGTAGCTCCAGGAATCGAACCTGGACCTCAGGAACTCTGGCCATTAGACAACAGAGGAGGTTGAGCAGTAAACAGAGAGGAATCTTAAATGAAGTGAATTTAACACCAGAGTTATTAACTTGGGTTCAAGCGTTTCAACTGTGTAAACAGCGCTGACTTGTGTGTAAGAATTTTTAAGAACTGTTTAGAAGATATGATGGTTTATACGATTCTGACCAAATTGAACCGAAAATATGATCATGCTGTCATGTCAGATCTCATGATTTACTGTCCTCATGTTATTTGGAAATGTTGTAATATGCAATGTAAGTATTAAAAATTTTTACCAGAAATTTAATGCAAATATTTTCTCTTTCACAAGGAAGGTGACATTGTACACTCAAAAGTAATATGTTGTGATTTTGCCTGATTCTCTTTAGATGGGAAAATTGGATGTAGTTCAGGAGAGATTAGCTGAATTTCGTTCACTGGCAAAAGAAGTAATAAATAATGCTTGTCACAAAGCACTGTTAGTTGTTGGTTACACAACAGATGATAGTAATTTTCTGAAACCACAAACTAAGTTTCCAGCCTTCAGGAACACTAAAGAAAAAGGAAAAATGTCTTATGTAAAACAGTCCAACAAGAGGAGGTTTTGTGTTCGATTATCATGGTAAGTATATTGTTCATGGAAGTTTAGTTATGTCAGTAAACATATTTCAACATTCTTGTTGCTGCATGTTCTGGTTATGTGGTTAGTACTGATTCATATTTGAGATTTCCTAGGTTCAATTTCAGGTGAGGGACTGGGTATTCTGAAATTTTTTTGTTGTTTCCTCAGTTACTGCATGTATATGTTGGGATAGTACATTACATTACTGAATAAACTACAGTTGAGTAAACTATATCTACATGGTGTCATTATCTAGAAAAATCTGCACACTAACATGCTTAACCTGAAACAAATGTTACAGTCACTTCATTCAAAATTGTGGTCTTTTGGGTTATGACACTGAAGTTTAAGTACTGTATGTAATTGACTCAGAAACAGATATAATGTTGTGAGGGGACCGCGGTGATCAAAATGTGGAGGCCACTATAAGCAAAAACAGATTTAGGTCATGACAATTTTATTTTTGTACTCATTTCTTACAATAACTAAAGAATAAACATTTTTCAAGATTTTAGAGTAATGTATGGATTCTATTTCTGTTTTATGGAGTCCCCAGGGTGACCTCCACACTCACTGATGCTTAAATGTGGCCCTGAATATCCTAATCAATTCAGTTGATTTTCCAGGATGGGAGAATTTTTTTATTGCTAGTGCGGTGGTACTAAGTCCCTTGTACTGCGGCCACTTCTGGCCTATTGTACCAGCCCCAGATGATAGGTGAGGGTGATTGTGGAGCAATTGGTGGAATGAAGATTGGCAGGGGAAACTAAAGTACTCGGAGAAACCCTGCCCCAGCGCCACTTTGTCCACCACAAATCCCACTTGACCAGACCCGGGATTGAACCCGGGCCGCCTCAGTGGGAAGCCCGTGACTAACCGCTTGAGCTATGGCGCGGCCATGGGAGAATAGAT